TATATATATATTGCTTTTCCTTTTCTCTGAAATTTTACGCAGACGCATTAGCACCCCTTTGCGGACTGCAATTTGAAAACATCTGGACAACTAAGATGAATTCCTTGTGCACTCTAACTTGGACAATAATCTCTAAACTTATTTTAACATTTCACAGATTAAACAACAGATGAGCCATATTCACAAAGGTAGCTTCATCAGCATCAAAAAAAACTTTAAACGTAGAGTGTTTGATTTGTTTGGAAACACTTTACCCGTGAGAAAGCTGACCAGTAGTCCAACCACCACAACAGTGGCAGAATTATGAGCACTGTACCACATGTATGATAAAGAGTACAGAGCCTGAACTCCAGAAGGCCTGAAAATACAAGACGACAGAATAAATGGGCCAGTTTAGTCTGTAATATAGCTATCATTAAGAAAAGGCTTTATGAACTGTCTTACTTTTCAGGCTCAAATTAGACCAATCGTTGTTTTTATGCAACTGCCTTCTGGTTATGACTAATTTGTACGATTAGTCTAAGAAGTTTATGCAACTGTGGCCACAGAAACTAAACAAATTGATTTCTGCTTGGTCTGAAGTAATTAAGCATTTTAGAACAGGGATTTCTTGAGAACTACTTTCTTAAAAATATGCACCTTGGTTTAGATGTGATGAGCGTCGTCATGACAGCTGTTGTCATGTTTCCTACATCAGGTATGACGGTGGCATTTATCACAGGTGGTGCAGATGCAGACATTCGTGAAAGAAAGCTGCCGATACCGATCCAGAAAGCCATGACCAGCCCTGATAGCAGCCCAACCAGAGCACCCTGAAAACACACTCAGTCCATGAAATGAAATCATACCATGAAATTATCTACCGAAGTCCACTGGATGCATTAGTGACAAGATACTTACTAAAAAAAGATATTTACAAAACTTACAAAACTTTTTCTTAAAGGGGTCATATGATGCTATTTCATTTTTTCCTTTCTCTTTGGATGGAGTGTTACAAGCTCTTGGTGCATAAAGAAGATCTGTAAAGTTGCAAAGACTAAAGTCTCAAATCCAAAGAGATATTCTTTATAAAAGTTAAGAGTCAGCCACACCACACCTCGCTTTTTCAGACCGATGAGCTTTGTAAAAATCGACGCGTTTCAGAAGGCGGGGCATAGAGGAGAAACAATAATGTACAGTATGTGGAAAATAATGTGTTTTTTTAACTTTAAACCGCATAAACACATTTCATTACACCAAATACACAAAATAATGTTCTTTTTAGCAGCATCATATGACCCCTTTAAAAACTAATTAAAACTTTTTATCAGCAAGGATGAATTAAATTGACTAAAAGTGTTTTCTGAAGGATCATGTGACACTGAAGACTTGAGTAATGGCTGCTGAAAATTCAGCTCTGCCATAACAGGAATACATTACATTTTAAAATATATTAGAAGAAAATAGAAGTTATAAAATATTTCATAATATTAGTGCATTTCTAAAATTGACTGTATTTTGATCCAATAAATACAGCCTTGGTGAGCATAAGAGACTTGTGAAACAAAAAAAAATCTGACCCCAATCTTTTGAACAGATGTGTATTTATGTGGATGTTTTGTTTGACTTACAGTGGAATTGGCCCAAGGAAAAAACATCCCGAGACAGAAAAGGCCAAGAAGAGGTCCCCCCACCATCCCAAATATACTGAGTGCTGCCTAAAGATGTTAAACAATAAGGAAAATATACATAGATTGTTGTTAACTGTATGAATACATTACACTAAATTACACTTCAAATTTATCTGCATTTACTTTATTATTATTATTATTATTTTCATGTTAGATAATCATGGACCTCACCTGCAGCACAGAACCCATTAAAGAGGCGATGTACGCCATAGCCAGACACACAAGACCATAGCCAAGTGCTGCGGGGGAATTTAATGACAAAAAGGATTACTATAATGATCCCAAACAGGAACATTACAGTGGACCACTCATAAAGAAATTAATAAGTGAAATAATAAGCTCTGCCTTTCAGACAGTTATTGAAAAATAGCTTACCCAACATTTTCGATAACAAGGTGGCACGGGCCTCTGTCATGGGTGACACGTGAGGTTTGATCAGGTCCTCCATGGTAACTGTTGCCAGGGAGTTGAAGGCAGATGAGATAGTGCTGTAAGATAAATTGGACACCATTTAAAGAAAGAAAATCAGTATCAACAGCTAAAAAAAAAAAAATTTTTTAATTGTAATAGGAGGAACTGTCATCACAACATCTGGTTGATACCTAAGAGCTCCACTAAACAGGCAGGCGACAAAAAGTCCTGGCAAACCAGGAAGATCTTGCAACACATCCATTACAAAGTACAGCACCATCTGCAGAAGGAGAGAGATGTGGAAAGTGACTTCCCCATAATAACTGTCAAATCAGCATCAATTCAGCAATGGTGTGATGATCTTGACATCAAAGGATAACAAGAAATAAACAAAACGATAGGCTGTCGCGTAAAAATAAACAATCATATCATATATATATATATATATATGGGTTTAGGGTCGGTAAGAGTTTGCATGTATTTTATCGAAAATATTGAAAGATATTGTGAAATATTACTATAATTTGATGCAAATCTGAATTTTCAGCATCATTACTCTAGTCTTCAGTGTCACATGATCCTTCAGAAATCATTCTAATATGATGATTTGGTGCTCAAAAACATTTCTTACTATTACCAATGTTGAAAACAATGCTTAATATTTTTGAGGAAACCATGATACATTTTTTCATTGTTCAGTGATGAAATAGAAAGACCAAAAGCTTCTAAAATAAAAGCTCAAAAGTTCTAAAATGCTGTACATTTATTTGAAACAGTGTCTTTATGTCACTTTTGATCAATCTAATACATCGTTGCTCAATAAAAGTATTAATTTCTATCAAATAAATCATATATTTTTTTGTATCTGACCTGGTCATTACTTTTGACGTAGCCCTGATCCAGCGGGCTCTCCTCCCCATATCGAGCGTACATAACCAGACCCATTAAACAGCCCATTGTGAGCACGATCTGCTGGCATGGGAACACCACATAACAGGACCTGGAGAACAAGACACCCCAAAAAAACACTTCAAAAAAACACCACTTTTGTTGCAGTAATTTAACACAACACAGCAGAAAGAGCACAAATGGTGCATAAAACAACTTCTATAGACTTAACCAGTGTGGAAGAGCTGAGTGTTTTCTTACATGATGGCCTCTTTTTCTGTGCGGGAGCTGAGGTATCTCTGGACCTGAGCCTGATTCACTCCATACAGGGCCAGCATGAGGAAAACCCCCCCCACTCCCAGAGTCCAGAATGTGTGCCTCTCTAAAGGGTCAGGGTTCAGGCTGCCATGGGGACCACAAAACAAAGAATGTGAGCTTCAGTTACAGTTCTGGTATGTGGAAAAGTGTTTGTTAGATAATCTTAACGGAACAGTTTAGATACTCATATATGAAACAAAATGATATAAAATCGCATCACTCACTCAAGGCCTGAGATACGGCTGCCGTTTTGTGCTTTCTTCCATACTTCAGCGATGCCACCTGCCTGATGGGTACCCACTATAATCACTGCCAGCTGCCCCGCAAACATCACGATTGTTTGGAACACATCTGTCCAGATCACCGCTTTCAGACCACCCTAGAGCAGAGAACAGGTGTGTTATAATGTACACTACCTTTCAAAAGTTTGGGAATTTTTTAAAGGGGTCATATGATGCGATTTCAATTTTTCCTTTCTCTTTGGAGTGTTAAAACTCTTGGTGCATAAAGAAGACTAAAGAAGACTAAAGTCTCAAATCCAAAGAGATATTCTTTATAAAAGTTAAGAGTCATTGTATTTACAACACTGTTCCAGAACAGTACACATGCTTGAGGTATTCAGCAAATCACAACACACTGGATAGCTGGCCAATCAGTGTACACCTCGCTTTTCAGAATGATGGGCTTTGTAAAAATCGACGCGTTTCAGAAAGGTGGGGCATAGAGGAGCAACAATAATGTACAGTATGTGGAAAATAATGTGTTTTTTTAACCTTAAACCGCATAAACACATTGCATTACACCAAATACACAACATAATGTTCTTTTTAGCAATGTCATATGACCCCTTTAAATATTTTTGAAAGAAATGCTCACCAAGGCTACATTTATTCGATCAAAAGACAGTAAAACATTTTATATTGTTAAATATTATTACAATTTAGAATAACTGTTTTCTACTTTAATATATTTTAAAATGTAATTTATTCCTATGATGGAAAAGCTGAATGTTCCCTCCATTACTTGTCTTGATCCTTCAGAAATCATTCTAATATACTGATTTGGTTCTCAAGAAACATTTCTTTTTATTATCAACATTGAAAACAGGTGTGCTGCTTAATATTTTAGTGTAAATAATGATTTTGTTTCTGTATTATATGATCAATAGAAATTTCAAAATAACAACATTTACTTGAAAAAGAAATCTTTGTAACATCATAAATGTGTTTTTCTGTCACTTATGATCATTTGAATGCGTCCCTGCTGATTAAAAGTATTCATTTCCTTTTAAAAACTGAAAAGTATTCATTTTCTTTTACTGAACCTATACTTGTGTAAACTGATGCATGGCTCCATCTTACCAATGCTGTATAAAGTGTGCACACCAATCCCATGGCCAGCACTGCCCCCCAAAGGTCAAAACCTGTTACTGTGATCACAAACAAATTCAAATAAACATTTACAAGAGGAAAACCATGAAAAAAAAAAAACTACTGCTCTGATATACATCAACATGCATGTCTTGTTATGCATCAGCCTGCATTATGCATTACCTGCATTAAGTGCAAGTGCTGGAGCATACAGAACAACTCCCATATAGATCACCTGCATAAAAATACATAAATAGACAGATGAAACAGCTGTAACGCTTTTCTGCAAGCACACTAGATTGTTTTAGGACATAATAACTTTTTTCTATGAAATTCCCCGTCTAGTAACAGATAGTTCTGAGAATCATTACACTTTAGATCAACAACGCTGAGTAAAATATTGTCCATGTCAGTAGGGGGGTCAGAATAAGTTTGTAAGTGAAAGTTCAAGTTTTTATACTGACAACAGGGTGTCTTTGTGCCTAACAAAACTGGAGTAAAAGACAGTATTCATTTAGATTATTAGATTATACTCCTAACGGTTTTAATATCCTATTGCACACATTCAGGTGCTAAACACAACTCACCATCTGAAAGATGAAGGTCACAGTGCCACATATCCGAACACTTTTACTAAAACGAAGCTCCAGATACTATAAAGAGGAAAAAGAATGCATTCAGTAGAAATATAAACAGTGTATAACACCATAGAGCAGTTTCTGGAACACTGGGAGGACTGCAATTTACAATTTATTTACAAATGATTACAATTTACAATTTAAAAATACAACAATTTTTAAGATCAGGGATCAGTTATAGGTCAGTAATTTTTGTCAATTTTGTAAATTTGGTAAAAAAAAAAAAAAAGGAAAACAAATCAAGGGTGCATTAAATTGTTCAAAAATGATAGTAAAGACTTTAAAAAAAAACTTTTGAACGATACTGTGCATCTTATTTACTAAGACATTTACTCATAAAATTTTATATTTTGAGCTCTGGAATGCTTGATTCTGATTGGTTAGAATTCTGCTATCAAATATTTCTGTATGATGTTGGGGTTTCTTTTGCTATAATGACCGACTGACTGTTCATTATCCTTATTATAAAACAGTGGGGTCCTAAGGTCTGAGACAATAGTGCTTCCATTTTGCACTTTTAAATATGAAACCTTGTGGGACAATTTACAGGGTTCCCACCCTTTTTGAATGAATATCCATGTTTTTTTTCCCCATGAACTTTCTAGTTGTTTAATGATTACTGAATAAGGATTTTTTTTCTTAAATTCTTAAAATTCAGACTAATTCACCAATGAATCATTCACTGACTGATTTGTGAACCGGTTCGACTGATTCATTAAAAAAAGAACCAACTCCAGTTCCCGAACAGTGACACAGACTTCAGTCTCTCAAACAAACAAATATAGTGAATTTCTGAAGTGCTACCTGATATGTGCTGCTAAGGTGGAGCCGATAGAAAACTGGTATGAAAATGTGCGCAGGGATGAGCAGGCCCAGGAAATAGGAGCAACCCAGGAACCAGTACTGCGTGCCATGTGTGTAAATCTCAGCTGGGGCACCCAGGATGGCCACCGCTGATTGAAAGGTGGCCAGCAGAGAAAGGGACACTGGAAGGCAGCGCATGCTGCGGTCGGCCAGCAGGAACTCCTGTGTGGTCCTCTGACAACCCCCTGAGAAGGCATAGTAAAGGCCGATTCCTGCGGAGGCTACTAGCAGCACGACGAAGATCACGTAATCCACCGTGCTGAAGTGCATTTGGACTACGTCCCCCATGATGCCGTGAGGTGTGGGGAGGAGCACACAGAGTGATGTGGCCCCTGGATTATCAGTGAAGGGTCAGTGGAGTGTTGACCATTTGGTCATCATAAAGGATTGCAGGCGACGTGCTAGAGAAATTAAAAGACAAAAATGCAAACAGAATATCCAAATTATAATTACCGATTGTCTAGATTTACAGCTGTTCAAAATTAGCAGTAAGGAAACATTTACACTAATGCATTGTGCAATATGTTCAAAACAACTCAAAAAAGAAGATATTTTAAATCACAATTTGGCACTTTTATACACCTAAAAATAAAGTAACTTAAAGTCACAATCAAACCAAAGTAGCAACATACTTTATCTTCCATATTGTGACATACATCTGAGTGTAATGGATTATGAAAAAAAAATATGATAAAATATCAAAATTCTATGTATCGGTTATTGATTGGATTTTGAGATGTGGACTTTGCACTCAAAAATAAACGCCAGCTTGCAGTCAGTTGTGGAGGGGCGGGATTTAAGTGGATAAAATGAATGTCATAAGAAAGAAGTGTGTTGTTCTCACGGGAAGATCAAGTTATGACATCTTGATTAAACATTAAGAAGTCAAAAACAAATGAGACATATACATGGATCAATTTACTATAAGATCTATAACATGTATTATGTATAGGTTAAATTTTCATTTCATGCCATTGCCAACTATAAACTGTTTTTTGTTTTGTTAATTCGTAAATCATATTGCAACAAAACCATTTTTACAATATCTCTGTGTTGCACAGAAGAATGAAAATCATATGGGTATGGAGTGATAATCTTGTCAATGGTATTAGTGACAAAATGTTTTTAATATTGTCACAATAATGAAGAAGAGAACCTTCATGGCAAGAATTAAGGTATTTAATAATGAATTAAGAGATTTTTCAGCTATATCATAATTCAAATACATGTGAACTTTTTGTAACACAGTTATTTTGTAATATCAGTAGAATTTCTAGAACTACTGCTGTAAAAATGTCACTAGAGTTAAAGCTACAAGCACTGCTGGCTCACCTCATTTGACTAAATCTCTACATTACATTTTCTGAGCGCTAGTAGGTGGCCTTAGGACATAGCATGCAGATTCAACATGAAAACCATCAAAAAAGGTTTAATTAAAAAAAAAAAAAACTCATCTAATCATCAGATTCATTTGATTGTTTTGGTTTCTATATTTTATGCCACTCTACCTCCACGTATCCAAGTAAATAGATTAAATAATTTAAAAGTGATGTAGTCTTGTTCTCGCTATTCTGTGAAGTTCCACAACAAAATAGCCTGTTTATCAATCACACTGGGCACTGGTTTTGTGAGACATGACGTAATGCAGCTTATTCAATGAGTCATCATATGACTTAGAAATCTCTTTTTAATTTAATATTGTGCCTCTAAAGCTTCACGTCTTCCAAACCAGCTTACAAACAACTATTCTAACATAATCTGACATTCTGTAGGGTTCAAGCTTATGCACAGAAACGTGTTGAATGCAAAAAGTACTGTGGGTCAGTGTATTTAGACCAGAGGAGTCGGACATGATTCAATGAAAAATCTAATACGGGCCACTGAGAGGATGATGCTGATGAAACAGCAAGCCACACTATTATCACATACTATAGCTTTACTCCATCTGAAAACGTGCGCAGTAAACTTATGAACATTGATAAATTTGAAGTCATTAGACTGCCTTATAGATTGCAAGAATGCATTGAACAAAAGTCTTTCAAAAACATTAAAAGATCTTACCGACCCCAAACAGTATAGTGTATGTAAAGGGACTGTCATTTCAGACATATTTCACTTTAATTCATGTTCACACATTTAGTAGCAGACAAGTTACATAACACCCTGTAAAATGGTTAAAGGTCAAACATCATACTAAACCTTCTTGCAACTGTGTGAGTTTGCTAATTGTCATTTATTGACTACACTTGCAATATCTGTAAATTAGTTGCATACAATGGACACAATTTACTGCACACAATCCTGTCCTGTCCA